ATCATCAAGCTACATGTGAGCCAGTCATGGACTCTTGCCCTCACGGACCTCGCCATGAAACCCCCTGGAGCTACCTGCTTGGTAGAGGGGCCCAAAGACATCAAAAAGCACCGTCTGTGTACAAAACTGCATGTTTCACATGATCCCTATGTAAACAAGGCATGGAAAATTCTCCAGGGTGAAAGTGATGTAGTAAAGAAGTGAGCAACTCGCAGCCTCCCAGATGTTTTGCCTGTATCTCCCATCCATCCTAGGTGGAATAGCCCATGCAGAGGGATTATGCCCAAACATCTGGAGGGTCACTGGTAGCCCACCACTCTCGTAGTACTAAAATAATGGTGGACAACCAGTGACCCTCCAGATGTTCCCTGCTAAAATCATGGGAACTATCATATAACGAAAGTGCTGCATGTAGCCTCTGTCGCACAACTACCGTCCTCAGGTTTCCTAGGCAGAGAAAATAAATTAGTATCAAACTACTCGGAATCTGGTTTCATTCCGTTGTGTGTTCATGCCCATTGGAATGGGCTTGCCTCTGCTTCCTCTACCCCTTTGGTAGTTCAGTGATGGCTTTTCCTTTGTTCTCCTTCTCCTTGTCCTGCCATTGCACAGTCTCACACTAATTTTTCATGAGCCGGAATTGGGTGTTTTTTCAATTTATTTGTATCAGCCTGAAATCCCTCAGAGGCACTTCGTCCAGTGCATCCGTCTTTCTGCCTTCCATCACCCTCTGCAGTTTATGCCTGCATCTTGTTCCACGAGACATCAGGTACAGAACCTTGGCAAACGACCCGGATGCATTTCTGATGTTTCCACTGGAGTACACAACATCAGTAAAATACTCCCTGGAGATCCCGTTTCTTATAGGGCCTCAGCTGGAGTTGTGGCTTTTGGAGATGATAGCGACATTTGATTAAATGAAAACTTCTGCTCAGCAGCTTGTGAAACCACAACAAGCTCTTCCAGTTTTGCATTCCCCTGAGACAATGGGAGGGCAGCTTTTCTCCTCAACAAAATATACCAAAAGTGGAGTGGCACCATAGTGTTAGCTTGGAAAGAGGCGAGGGGGAATCACAAGTGTGGGTGTGTCATTTTTTCTGGCAACACTCCTGAGCCTTTAATAGCTGAGTGATGGGCAGAAATTCAGTTGGTAGCCTTTCTACTATGGCAGAGATGGAGAAGAATCTCACCTGTTGAATTTCTGTTTTTTCATGGCTTCAAATGGTATAGGTACCCTGACAAAAATTCTAATCCACAAATAATCCATCAGGAAAAGTTTCTCCTTTGGAAGATGAGCATTTCACTGCCTTTTAATGTTTCCAAAATCCATATTCTTGCAATGCCTTTCTAATACCTTTCAAAAAGTCACCAAAATGTTGCAATTTCCATCCTCTCCAGATTTCTTCATTGGGCAAGAGAGCCAATGATCTCAAAGGCTTGCACTTTTTGTGATCTGTTGGTTGAGTTGAGAAAAGTAATTACACTAATATCAATTTTGGGTTTTTTCCCCTTATAAACATGGCTATTATTATTTCTTACAAATTTCAGGTATACTCTGCTTTTTACCTGGTGTTCCAGGTGACTTTGATTTTTATTATTGCTATTCATAAAATATATACAACATTATTTAAACACGACATCACATTATCATTGCCCATCATGACTTCTGGTTCTTAAAAAATAATGCATAGCCCTTTCAAATGATGGAATGCAATTTTTTCAGGATGATACTTTCCATTTTGTTTCTATCCTGGCACAGTGTCCGTGGAGGCTCTGCTTCCCCAAATCTATCAGTCATGACTTTGCCACTACAACATGTATCAGTGGCTGCCATCTTGGATGGCTTTAAAGCTGGTTTAAGTAAATCCATGGAGGATAATGCTATTACTGGCTACTAGGGATTGCCTTGAGAAGAGAGACTGAGGGGGGACATGTTATCCCTCTATAAGGACCTCAAAGGCTGTCACAAAGAGGAAGTTCAAGATCTCTCCCTGCTGATGCCAGAGCGTAGGACATGGACTAATCAATTCAAGTTGTGACCACCCAGATTCAGGCTGGACATCTGGAAAAGCCAGGGCGACTTATTTTATATTGTAAATTCATTTTATATTTTTAATGTATTATATTTCAATGTTTTGTGAGCCGCCCCGAGGCTTTGGCGAATGGGGCGGCATAGAAATTTTCTAAATAAATAAATAAATAAATAAATAAAAGCTTCCTTTCTGTCAGAGCACTACAACAGTGGAACCAACTGCCTAGGGAGGTGGTGGACTCTCCCACACGAGAGACATTCGGAAAGAAACTGGGCAGCCCTCTGAGTGGGATGGCGTAAAGTGGTATCCTGCAACAGCAGGGGGTTGGACCTGATGGCCTTCATGGCCCCTTCCAACTCTACTCTTGTATGATTCTATGGCTATACATCACCTCCAGTATCAGAGGTACACCGCTGGATACCAGTTCGGGGGGAACCATGCAGGTACTCTTGGGCTTGGGTCCTTGTGGATCTACTTGCTTGGCATCTGACTGGCCAATGCACTAAACAGGCCTTGTGTCTATCCCGCCCAGCTCTTCTCATGCCAATACTGAATTATATCAGTCAGCGTCACCATTTCTTTCACATTTCCACTCTCTGTGGCGCAGCAGGGCACCCAGGTCTAACTCAGCAGGTATAGCATTCTTCCCCGCCACTATGTGTGGATGTGAATGCTGGGCAATGAAGAAAACTGACAAGAAGAAAATGCGTGCATTTGAAGCATGGTGCTGAAGGAGAGCTTCGTGAGAGACAAAAAGGATGAACAAGTGTGTCCTAGATCAAAACAAGCCAGAACTTGATCCGGGAGCAAAAATGATAAAGCTGAAGGTGTTGTACTTTGGGCAGTGCATGAGAAGGCAAGGCACCCCATGCAAGACAATCAGGGTAGGGAAAGCTGAAGGCAGAAGAAGAAGAGGAAGACCAAATGTGAGATGGCTGGGCTCCATCAAGGAAGCCACAGTCGGGAGTTCGCACGAGCTGAGCAGGGCTGTCAAGGACTGGGCTTTTGGAGTGGTTGCATTCACAGGGTCATTAAAAGTTGGTGATGCCATGATGGCACAGAACAGCAACAAGTGCTCCTCAGTAAGAAGCAATATGCACACTGAACTGGGGGTAACCCCAGCTGAATGCAGTGAGACTTATTTCAGAGAAACATAGATATGGCACATAGGTAAACTAGGGAAGTCCTTTCCACAAGATGCTGTGATCACGACCATTTTGGATGGCTTTAAAAGTGGACTGGGCCAATTCCCAGAGGAGAAGATTATTGGTGGCTACTCTGCACTGCCATTGCTATGTGCTGCCTATGTACACCAGTGCTGGGGAACTTGGGTGGTGGAGTGCTGTTGCACTCATGTGTGGCTTGCAAGTCTTTCATGAGCACCTGCTGGGCCAATGTGTACAGAAATCTCACTTGTGTAGGCCTTCATCTGAAAGTGCCTGGCTCTTCTTATGTGCTTATGCAAAGGATTCCACTGCACTTAACACAAAGAAAATTACCTGTTCATTTTTTGTCTATTATGCACCAGTTAAAGGCATGTCACCCCTGTCTATAAAGAAGTGTGTAGGTGTGCGCATGCCATAAAAATGGTCTTCAGATTGCTTTATGCACCAAAATGCTTGTTTACTTCTGTGATCATTTTCGATTACAAAAAATATGGCAAACGATTCTTTCTGTATCAGCTTGAAGCACAATGCAATTTCCCTTTGCGCTCCTGCGGAACTAATCAAAACACCTACCATTCACTGAGGAGGCGCCCGTTAGCGAGCCTTTAGTGACTGAATACAAATGGAAGGATATATTTATGGTCAATTTAGCAGAACCAGATATTGGGTGACCTGTGACACCTGATACTTTCTACTAAAGAGCTAATCAGCTGTAAAACTAGATGACAGGTCTATTGTATAGGCACAAAGAAGAGATTTGTTATTGTGGGTCTCACTGATACAGCCAGTCCTCCAGCAGTGTCCTCTCTCTGCCTGTGTGTGAGGGAGAAAGTAAATTCTCCTTAAATGGAACCGAGAAAGGGAGCTGCTGAAAAATGTTGATTCCCGCAGAACAGGAATAATAACCTGTAATAGAGATGGATAAATTTCTCAGTTTTGCATTTGCCTGCACTGGATGGATGGATGGATGGATGGATATATATATATATATTAAGCATAGTGAGTTCTTTCCATTTTGATACTTTTGAATAAAAACACAACCAAAACTAAATTGCCACTCATCTGCACCAGTCGGAGTCAATAGGTGTTGCTAATTTGAGAATGGGGAGGACCAGGTTGTAGCTGCTGGCTGCCTAGTTGCCGAATATCAGAACCCTGTGAAAAAAGTGGGTAGCAGACGTAACTCTGACACAGGGATTCAAACACAAACTTTTTAAAGTGAAGCAAGCAAACCTGGGGTCTAATTGGATGCAACTGTCAGTTTGGGGTTTTCCACCTCCCATTCAATTTATGTATAACAATTTCCAAGCTTTTTCTGTCCTGCTTGTGTATGAAGAAATTTGCAAGTTTCAGTAGAGAAACAAACTAAATGGATTTTTTTTTTCATCCATCCAACTTGGGACTCAAGCCCTGTGGAGAAAAATGAAGCAATTAGAGGTGTAATTGGTATTTTTGAGATTGTTTAAACCGCTTGGTGTCTTTGGTTTCGACATTTGCAAAAAAGACTGAGTGGGACATGATATCCCTCTATAAGGACCTCAAAGGCTGTCACAAAGAGGAAGGCCAAGATCTCTTCTTGCTGATGCACGGCATAATCAAGTCAAGTTGCGACAACCCGGGTGTTGATCCCTCCATCCTGCAGGTGGCGGCGGCGGCTGCGACCGAGGCCCTGCGCGCTCGTGGCTTCCTCTGCCGCTTGCTGTCTTTGGTGGAGGCATCTTGGCAAGCAGGCGAAGGAAGAGAGCCGGCCCTGCCTCCGCCGCCCGCTTGTTAGGACCACTGAGCAGGCCAGGAGGAACCCAGGCGGCCGCAGCTTCCTCTCCCAAAGAGTGCCGCCATGTCGGAAGGCGAGAAGCTCAATTTGGATTCCATTATCGGACGCCTCCTGGAAGTGCAAAGTTCACGCCCAGGCAAGAATGTGCAGCTGACTGAAAATGAGATTCGGGGCCTATGCCTGAAGTCACAAGAAATCTTCCTGAGCCAGCCCATCTTGCTGGAGCTGGAAGCCCCACTCAACATTTGTGGAGACATCCATGGTCAGTACTATGACTTACTTCGACTCTTTGAATATGGGGGCTTCCCCCCACAAAGCAACTACCTCCTCCTGGATGACTATGTGGACCGGGGGAAGCAGTTGCGGGAGACAATCTGCCTGCTGTTGGTCTATAAGATTAAATACCCTGAGAACTTCTTTCTTCTGCGTGGGAACCACGAGTGTGCAAGCATCAACCGCATCTATGGCTTTTATGATGAACGTAAAAGGCGCTACAGCAGGCGCTACAGCAGTCTGTGAAGGCCTTCCACAGCTTAGCTTCAACTGCCTGCCCATTGCTGCCATAGTCGAGGAGAAGATCTTTTGCTGCCATGGAGGACTCTCTCCCGGCCTTCAGTCCATGGAACAGATTCGGCGGCTCCTGAGGCCCACAGACGTGCCTGATCAGGGACTTCTCTGCGACTTGCTCTGGTCTGATCCTGACAAAGATGTCCAGGGCTGGGGCGAGAATGACCATGGTGTCTCCTTCACCTTTGGCTCAGAAGCTGTTGCCAAGTTTCTGCACAAACACGATCTGGACTTGATCTGCCGGGCGCATCGGGTAGTAGAGGACGGATACGAGTTTTTTGCCAAACGGCAGCTGGTTACATTCTCTTCCACTCCAAACTACTGCAGTGAGTTTGATAATGCAGGTGCAATGATGAGCGTTGATGAGACCCTCATGTGCTCCTTCCAGATCTTGAAGCCGGCTGACAAGAACAAGGGCAAGTACGGCCAGTTCAGTGGCCTGAACCCCGGTGGGCGCCCGGTCACTCCTCCACTCAACTCGGCCAAAGCCAAGAAGTAGCTAGCCCTGCCTGTTCCCCGAGCATGTAGGTGTGGGGCCCAGGCTGTCTTGTGTACTGGTTACACTGTACAGCGGCTGCCTACCTCCTCAGGGCCCAGCCATGTAATTTTTAAAAAATGTCTGATTGAGAATACCAAAAATTCTGCTCCCCTGCGGTGGGGGATGTCTTTATTTTGGGGGGTATTTTTGATTGACTTTTTTGCCAACTTTGTCCTGTTGTATGCTCCCCTTTCCCCCATGCAGGTACTGCATCATTTTGAATAAACATGTAAGATTCTTATTTAAAAAATAAAAAAATAGTTGCGACAACCCAGATTCAGGCTGGACTTCAGGAAACACTTCCTCACTGTCAGGGCAATACAACAGTGGAACCAGATACCTAGAGAGGTGGTGGGCTCTCCCACACTAGAGACATTCAAAGAGAAACTGGACAGCCAGCTGAGTGGGATGGTGAAATGTGGTGTCCTGCAACAGCAGGGGTTGGACTCGATGGCCTTCATGGCCCCTTCCAACTCTATGATTCCATGATTCCATGATTCCATGATTCTATGAGTATGGCTCAGCTGTGGGTTGTTGTTGAAGTGTTGCCATGTTACTGGAACCCAGTCAGTATGTCTCTGCTGTGAAAATAGATTCTCCTTCACCTGCTTGGTTGAGCACAGCTAAGCTGAGAGGGAACAGGGTTGCCTGAGGGAGGTGGCAGAAGATGTGATCCTCTGCTAATCACAAAGGCCTGGGGCCTCAGCCCTGCAGGCCTTGCCTCTAGTACCCCGCTGCATTTCCACAAGCTTTGAAGGGGCACTTTTCGGATCGAAGCAAAGGCCTTCAGGCGAATGCACGATTTCCGCTAGTAATACAGCTGAAGCAGAGCAAGAACGAAACGTTCACATCATGCCATCTGTTGCCAGCCAGGATCCCAGTAGCCACATTTTGTACCAGCTGCAGCCCGTTAAATAGCGTGCTCAGGGATACCAGCAGAAAAGGCATTAACAACAGGCCAAATTGAATGGAACAATGCAGGAACAAATAAGCCTGCAGCAGCCAGGGTGGGGTGACGGCATAGTCTGGCTGTGATCCTAATGACACGGAAGGCAGCTTTCCTGCGCACAAGCGCCAACCGCCCCAGCGACTGCAAAGCAGAGCTCCCCTGCCTCCCTCTCTCGTACTGCAGTCGTGCCCGGCCCACCCACCCCCCACTGCCCAGCCCAGAAGCGGGACTGGTGTGGAGAGCAGGCATGTCTGGGCAGCGGCTGGGGGTCCATAGCCCTGCAGGGTCCCACTGTCCCTGCTGCTCCTCTGCACCTCTGTGTGGCTTACCTGCCTCAGGTGGTGGAGGAGGAAGGTGCGTGTGCCTCCCTGCTCCTCATCAAGCGAGCAGGGAGGGGGCGGCAGCAGGAGGGGGCAGGGGTGGTGTGGGAGGGGTGCCTTGCCCAGGAGGATTCAAAAACCTGGAGCCAGTGCAGGCCACAAGTCTCATGATCCTCTGGTGTGTTATTCACAAAGCAAGGGCCCCTCGTCAGGGGTTATTAAAAACGTAGATGCGATTCTAAACTGATAGTGTAAAAGGGAGGGAAAGCTGGAGTGAGGTACCCTCCATCATGTTTGGATTCCTCTCCAGCTGAGAGCTCTAGTTTCTTCTGGCTATTGGCTGCCACTACTGAGAACATCAGAGGAAGAGGAAGTAGCAGGCCTTCCAATGCATTCAGATTTAATTCTGTGACCTGCTGAAATTTACAAATAAGACCCAAATCCTTCTTTCCTTTGCCCTCCTAATCTTTTCCCTTTTATGTGGTGTCTTTCACATTGTAAGCCTGTGGGACAGGGACTGTTTTCCTTCTTGTTTTTATGAATTGATCTGGGAGCCTTTTTGGTAAGTTAAGAATGGATGAGAACATCTGACCAAGTTACAGCTTGTTCAGCATTCTGGGCAAGAGTCTCACCTCAAAGCCACTTCCCGGGCAGCAGGAGAATCCCCAGCTCCGTGAGACCAGCACCTATGGATCAGGGCATTGCTGCTTGTAGCTGTCTGCAGGGAGGGTGGAGAGCTTGAAACACCCTGTTTGCTGCAGGGCTATGTAAGCACTATTTCTGCAGCAACATGGCAAGCTCCTGGCTTCTTGGCTTGTCCTCTGCATCAGCCTGGGTCTCACCAGTCCTAGTCCAGCCGTTCAACCCGGACTTGCCCTTAGTAGTTGCTCAACAGCTGCAGATATTGGCATGTTGGTGGAGTATAATGGAAGTTGCTGCCAGAAGTGGGCCAGGTTAGGGAAGGCTAATCTAGCCACTGATCCATATTGCATAGCATTGACTTAATATGTTAACAAACAGGCTACCTTTTGAATGCATTTCCCCGTATTTGGATTTTTAAATGAAAGAACTTAAGAAGAGCCCTGCTGGATCAGACTCAGAGTTCATCAGAGAAGTCCAAGGGAAGACATCAGTGCAACAGCACAGGATCAGCCATGATCCCCAGCAAATGATATACATGGACATGGTGCCTCTGATACTAGAGATAGCACAGAGCCATCTGCAGTCATGATCATGGGTAGGAATCCTCCAGGGATATCTCAAATCCCTTGTTAAAGATGCCCAGATCTGTGGCCATCTCTACATCCTGTGATAGTTTTGCCATATGCAGCATGAAGAAGGCCGTTCCTTTGACCTGCCCTGAATCTACCACCAGCTGCTTTCATGGGATGCCCCCTTAATTATGAGAGTGTGAGAAATAGCTTTCCCTCTCCCCTTCCACCATGCACAGTTCTGCACACCTCTCTGTTCACACTTGCCTTTGTTCCAAGCAAAACAATCCCAGATGTTAATGTTTCCTTGCAGGAGAGGTGTCCCAGCCCCTCAATCATTTCACTCACCCCTTTCTGTACTGTTTCCAACCCTACATTATCCTTTCTTGGGTCACGGTGACCAGAACCACACACGGTATTTGCAATTGGTTTCCTCACAGATTTTCATAAGGGAAAGATGACCTTGGTGGTTTTAATTTATTTATATTTACTTATTTATTTATAACAATAGCAGCAATAATAATACAACACTTCAATAAAAGCCTATATACAATATATAAAATATATAATAAAACCGTTCAACTATTTAAATACTGGGAAAATAAAAAGGTTTTGCCCTGCTGGCTCCAAAAAGAGTTGCTGCCAGGTGTACCTCTGTGGGAAGCAGATTCCACTTTTGGGGTGCTACCACTGAGAAGACCCTTCTCTGGTAGCAGCCTTGCTAGCTTCTTTCAAAGAGGGCTCCCAGAGAAGGACCTCCACAGAGGATTTTAGGGTCTGGGCAGGTGTGTATGGAAGGAGATTTTCCTTCAGATATCCAGACCCCATAGCATTTAGGGCTTTATATGTCAATGTTAACACCTTAAATCAGGCCTGGACTTCAGTTGAGTTCCAGTTCCATTCCTGATTTGCCTAGTGTGGAATTTGCCTCTTTCGCAGCTGCAACACTCTGGGTTGGCATTTTCATCACACTGTCCACCATCTCTTGCTTTACTGCTGGATTTGGTTCTCAGTTTTGCCCTACGAGACTCGCATATTCTGTGAAAGTATGAGCAAGAAAACAAGACAAAAGTCTTAGCTAGATTACACAGCCTTGCTTGTCACAAGGGATATAATATAATATGGTTCAGCGGGCTCTATATTATATACTGACAAGGATTATGGACTTGGCCGAACACTCTATGCACCTTCCTGGAACATTTTGCCTTTCAAATGTGCAAGCAAAGAGCTGAATCGGCACTGCAGTGTTTGCTTGCTACCTGTCCTCCTCAGCCCTCCACAGTCTGAAGCAGGGATGCTGACAGCCATAATCGATAGAGCAAAGGATGGAGGACCAATGGAATGAGGCTGCCTGAGAAGGGCCCCCACCACCAGCACCGCAACAGGTGGGGTCCCAAGAATGGCTTGGAGCAGAAATGGCCTAGGGAAGTTTTACTGCCAAAATAACAAGATCTGTGTTTTAAATCCGGCAAAGTGGCAGAGTTCAAGAAGATGCACGGACCCGTCTAGGGAGGGGGCTGGTCATGGAGCGAAGCACAACTTCTTGTGGCCCTCTGCCTCCTTTCATCAGCTCAATGAGGGCGATCGGTTCGGATCGCTGCCAGGAGGAATCTGTTCTTTCGCTGGCTGGGAGAGAGAGAAGCAGGTGGCAGAGAGGGAATCAGAGGGTGGCAGAAAGGGGATGGCCCACCCCCTTTGGGCTCCAGTCCTGGCCCGATTAGCTTTGCCTCCCCTGCCATGGACAGATCAGAATGGTATGTCGCCTTTGAGAAACAGAAAGGGTTGCCCAGCCCTGATCTAGAGCTTCCTGCTCACAAGGCAAGGTAGACGGGACCATTCTCCTGCCCCAAACAATGCTGCAGTGGCCAGTCCGCCTTCTTCCAGGGCATTTCATTGTTTATTTAAGAGTTTGCACTACCTAATATTCAAAGTTCTCTGGGCAGAGTATAGGAAAATGAAAACCAACAATGCATAAAGTGCAAAATCGCACTAAAACTGTAAGGAAATGATGCAACAAGAACGAATGCAAAGTAAAAGCAGCAGTGTGTATGCATGGGAGGGGGTTATGGGGTGGGGGGAAGGTGGTGCACTCCACAATAGCAAAAGTCATACAATCTGCAAAAAGGAATTAGAACTGTGTGGAAGACTAAAAGCACTGGAATGATTCTTGAAATGCCTGGGGGAATAAAAGCTCTTGACCCCACAGTTTGAAGAGAGAAGGCAGGCAGCAGATGACTCATCCCAGAGATGGGCATTACCCCTGAAATGGTCTTCATTCTTTAAAGCTGTCTTGCCATGTTTGGAAGGACCCCCAGAACATGTCCACGCAGCAGTTAGTCGGAATGCAGGAGAAATTTGTTTGGTTTGCTTTTGCTCAAGATTTTACCTGGTTTGTACCTTCTGAACCAAACCTGAATCAGAAACATTTTACCACCAAGGTCCACACATTTCTGAGCTTGCAATGTATGCATTTTTTTAAAGGTGCACAAATACACTTTAATCAC